AGCTCAGTGTGCTCAATGGGAATTAATTCCATGGTGCATGAATGGCAGCCTTAGGCACACTTAACTTTCTCTGGATAATTCCTCTAGGATATTAAGACTGCAGTCCTACTTGAACCAATCAGGACATCCTTCTGATTGAATTGTTATTATCTGATCCTAAATCCACTTAAATTTTAGTCATTTCTGCCTAAACACAGTGCAATTTCTCATATGGCCATGGTTTACATGTCACATTAAACCATAGTTAAAATAAACCATGGTTAAAATAAACCATGGTTTAATGTGAACCATTAGTGTGCTGGCGCATGCTGCTGAAATGGTGGGTGCTTTGCTCCTCCTCTGCTTCTGCTGTTACTTTGCAGGTGGGAAGAAAGCCATGGTCTGCCTTGCCATGTTCTCTGAACCCAGGCTCACAGTTTGTTTTTCTTTAAACAAATCATTAGCAGAAGCCAAGGTTTGCTCTTCATTTACTGCTCGTAGTTTGCTTTGGGGAAATGAAATGAAATAAAATCGTTTATTTAAATTATAGTTTAGGTGACATGTGAACCCAGACCATAGCAATTAAAGTTTTCTACCCAAGCGGTATTTGTTTATAATTTTATTTAAGATATTTACATACCCTTGAAGAGAGTCTAGTCTATACCTTGCCACACATTTTTACTCCAGATCCAGAAGGGCAAACAAAGGGCAAACGTTTCCAGATTTAATAGTATATTTTCAACTTATATACATATTAAAAATAATGTGGGTTCTACTTGTCCCCTTGACATTTCCAGAGTTAGGTTTCTGAAGCATATTACTGTGGTGATAATTGCACCTTCAGTCCACAGCAGGAGTGACTGCGGGAACAAAATTAATACAAAGAAGCCAGCATATTGACCTTAGCAAAGTCACCTAATTAAAAATACAGCTATATTGTATATTGAAGGGGTGGAGATTGCTATGTAAAAAAACAACAGGGGCAGCTATTTGGCCATCCACATAGGGCACACCATCAAATACACCTTGATATATAGATTAGGTTTGCCATATCTCAAAAAGTAAAATTCCTGACACCACCGAAATTATTCTTTTTTTTTTTTTTTGCCAGAGTTGTTGAGCTTTGGCCAGGCCCCAATGCTGACACAGCCCCTCACCTTACTTTCCCCTTTACTATACTCCACCCAGCTGCTCAGGCCCCCAACAACCCTCAGAAATGTGTAGTGAGGCGCTGCCACCTTTTCCCCTCCCACAACCTCGAACTTACCATAGCCAGTTTTGTTCCTCTTCCACACAGTTTGCTACCCTCACTATCAAGGCCTATCCATGTCTCATTTAAACTGTTTCCTGCACACACACACACACACACACACACACCCATTACCTGCCCGGCCCCCATCTCCGCCTTGACAGTGCTGCAGCTGGAAGGAGATGGTGGCCCTGAGTGGCTGCATCCTGCCCTGGCGAAACAAGGAGGTTCCTGGCTGGCAAGCCAAACCAACATGGCCACCTCAACCCTCTTGGGCGAGGTGGCCACGTTAGCAGCTCCCGAGCGCCCAGCTGCAGACCTTCTCTCACTGCCTCCGCTGCTACGACTGAGCCACCCGCGGGACACCCCTGGCACAGGGTCCCTTTTTCAACACACTAGGGGTGGCTAGGCTTCTGAATCGCCTTCCTCTGTCCCCCATCTCCTCACTCTACCCCCCCTCCCTGGCCAAGGGAAGTGACCTCTCACCACTTCCATTGCTGCTGGGTCACAACCTCCCCTGGATTTTTTTTAAAAAACCAGAAAACCCAAAATACCCGAGTTGCCATACGTTCAGGAAATTCCGGAGATCTCTAACATTTAAAAAAAAGTTCCCCCAGCGTCCAATTTCTGTACATGTCCGGTATTTTTTGGACATATGGCAAACCTAATATAGATGTACTTTGAATGCAAGAACTCTGCATAATAGAGAAGGGAAAGGCATGCATTTCTGGAAAATGACTGCACAATCACCCACGATAGTATTTTTCGTAGGTAAGAGAAGCATTGATCATTCCTTTTAGGTTAGTTAGGATTAAATAGTAATAGTAAACGTTTGTAATGTAAAAGTTACAAACTTTTATCCAGAAGTTGCAAGTCTCCTAAACAATTCTAAACATCCATCTTTCAAGCACAGGTTGTGTCACTCAAGTTCCTGTAAGAGCAGCAGCATGTTAAAGTTCCTAGGGTTGTATGCAACTAAGTCATACTCCAGGTAGACCCACTGAAATAAATGGACCTATGTTAGTAGTCATGCCTATCAATTTAAATGGGTATACTCTGAATAAGACTAACATTGGAAACAACCCTTAGTACTTGCTGTATATACATTTTTAAAAAAGAATCTTGAATACTCTTTGTAAGTGTCATAACTTTATTTGATCAGTTAATGAAAATGAATGTAGCATTCTGTTTTTTATCTTCTCCCAAAAGGTGGTGTCTTAATCAGCGCAGCAGCGCTCCTCAGAGCTACTATAGCTATCATTAGTGGGTGTTAGCACAGGCTTTGATGTGGGAGTTAAATACATGACTATCTGGCTCAGGGCAAACAATGCTACTTCTTGAGCAATGTGCATTTTAAAACCACTTTTGAATAACCTTTATATCTGGGAACTCCTAGCTCTGTAGGAGTCTCCCTTCATCTTCCCTCTCCTTTCCCATTACACCCGCATGTATCCCAAATAGTTTGCCTTATAAGACTCAGAGAAAGTCTGGCAACAAGTAGGGAAGGAAACAAACTGGTTTTATTTATATCCCACTCAATTTTGAGGACCATTGATATCAAAAGTGTCTGGGGAAAGAGGCAAGAATTCAGAATGTGATAAATATAGTCAACCAAAAGCAAAAAGTGCTTTAATCTGATTTGCCAGATCACCAGTGCAGAATTAGCCAAACTCTTTAATGCTTCTTTGACATGTTCTTTCTTCCTAAACCTTATCCAAAGTAGTTAGTCTTTTTGGTTCTTCAGTGTTAATTAGAAATGCCCAAGGAAGAAATGTTCAAAATATGGAGAAAAGGAAAAAATTGTTTCACTCTTTCGAGTTGAAAAAATGGCAGAGTGGTAATACACTATTATTTGTAAAATACTGTTTTAAATGTAAAGATGAGTGGAGCTCTAAAAAACAAATAAAGGACAGAACGCAGGTATGGATCCATCAGGTTTTCATGGTAGATTATAGAATCTTGACTAGATCCTGCAGCCTTCTTCAGGTGTAAGAAAGATCAAATAAGGGACCGTTACAAAAAACTTTTCCTGTAATAAAAGAACTAACGGTCACTAAATTAAGTAGAATAACTACCTATTATTAGTATTGCAGTGTTGAAAGACTGAACAGCCAGGAAGGAGTTACCTACTATAATTACTATCCTGTTGCTTGTCCTATTAATAATCTATTAATCCAATATACTCAAAGGATGTAACTTCATGCATAGTGTATAGGGTCACCCCAGCCCAGTTTAAGTGCTTTAAGCTCAATTCCTATCCACACTTATTTGGGAAGAAACCTTACTGAGCTCAGTAGCAGTTACTTCTGAATAAACATACATAAGGTTGTGCCATTAACAGTTTACAGACTTAGAACACCTGTAAGTGTGCATTGATTTTGTTATGAGTACTTCAAATCTAAGGTGTTTTACCTTAAAGGGGTTAAATTAAAAGTGTGCCCCGGGTTATCTGGACAGTCAAAGTGAACTGTAACGATGTTTTCTTTTGTAGAGGGACAGATTGCCTTGTTCCAAGATGACATGCTTGCTGCTTTTTGAAAAATAAAACTGGGGAGGAGTGTGCATCAGTGCTGGAATCATGGGCCCTTTGTTTACCTATTTATTTATAGCCATAGAAAATTTTTAAAAGATTAAAAAAGCAAAAGAGTCACAAAATGGCCTTTTAAAAAGATCTGCATTAGTGTCTTGCGGTTTCAGTGCTGCAGCTGTGGTACACTCAGCTTCTAAAGAATTAAAATAAAATAAAATAAATAACAAAATGTAAAGGGTGAAATCCATTGTCAAATGAAGCATCAACTCTCACAATCAATTTCCCCCTCCTCCTCCTTCCTTTTTGCTTCCATCTGCTGAAGAGCCCCACCCCCACCCTCCACAGCCATTTTGGTGGGCATATGGAGAAGGTTGTCTTTTCAAGGTCCATTTTCCTAATACATTAATATCAGTTAAGGCTTCAGCTGTTTGTTATAGGAACACCGTTTAACAGCATGATTTTATACATGTCTACTCAGAAATAAGCCCCATTGAATTAAATAGGGCTTGCTTCCGGCAGTAGCTAAAGACTGCAGTATGAATAAAATTCACTTTATTTGTAGACTAAGAACACAGGCTGTTTATTTTCTAGAGAAACTGGGGAAAAACTGACTGGAGTCTTGTTCCAGCTCATAATAATAAGCTGTGTTCCACATTTAGCTCTTTAATGGTCAGATTACTACAATATGTTTTGAGAGGGTTTTTTTGTTTTGTTTAAGTTGAAGTCCTATTCATGTCTCTGAAGCTACAGTTTTATCTTTGTTGTTGTGAGATGAGGGGGCTGGATGGAGTGTGTATATATTAATGTCTATTAATTTCAAGGAGTGAACAGCACACAGTGAATGGCTTCACAGAACACAATCTTGTTTATAAAAGCCCTTTTCCCCCCTAAGAGAAAGAGAATGCACAAAAACGATTTCTTTTTTATTTACCTCTTTGAAATGAAGCCACAAATAAACTTGTAGAAACTCTAAACAAAGAATCAGGTAGTAGTGAACAAGACTGTAGACAAACATGGGGAATCTTTGGCCCTCCAGATGTTGCTGAATTTCAGCATCCCTTTGTGACCAATTGTCTGTGCTGGTGAGGGCTGATGAGAATTGTAGTACAATATTTGGAGAACCTCAGGTAAGTGACTTCAGCTCTAGAGGTCAATGTAATGGCAGAAACTGGGCTACATGGTCCATGTATCTGAACTCCAAATTGGTATATGATTTCTTACGCTCTTCTTTCTGTATTACAGATAGCTGGGGCTTTATGGTGGTACTTCGTATCAAAAGGAATTGAGTATCTGGATACAGTATTCTTCATCCTAAGAAAAAAATTTAACCAAATCAGTTTTCTTCATGTCTATCACCATTACACTATGTTTACTTTGTGGTGGATTGGCATAAAATGGGTTGCAGGAGGGCAAGGTGAGTAGTCTTGTTTATCTTCCCAAATAAGGAGTACAAAGTGAGGACTCTACCTGGAAGCGAATATTCATTTTGACAGTAGCTTGTAAATATTGTTTGCTTCTGGAGTAATGGAATGCCCTTTCAATTCTGGAATGCTAAAGTTAAAGGGTAGATTCCTTCCTTCTCTGGGAAATGAGGGGGAGGAAAGAAGTATATGATTGCACTACTAGGAATTAGGAAACACTTCACATGGGCACGAATGCATGATTCGGATTTCGCATGCAAATTCTTCTTTTTTTCATTTAAGTAAACTTGCTGTGTGAAGCAACACATACATCTGGCTTGCTCAATCTAAAATTCAGCAACCATGAAAAAGAAGAGATTATTTTATTCTGCCTTGCTTATTCCAGAATATTTCCATGGTGATTAAAGGATGTAAGGCCAAAGCTTATTCATGTTTATTCAGAATTAAGTCCAGTTCATTTCAATGGGATTTACTTCCAGAAAAGTATGATTAGCAGATTCACTACATTTTATATATGCATAAGTATATATATATATATGTGTATGTGTGTCTGTTAGCAAGCCTAGTATATAAAGCAGGCAACAGCTATAAATTATACTCTAAACACAGAAATTGTTTGCAAACACACAATGCAGAACCCTGTAATTATTTCCCAGACATTTTGCACATCTTATATTCACATCAACTCATTTGGAACATCTTCATTTCCTGTAATACCATAGTTCTGACCTTGGTTTGCTTTGCCTTTCTTAAATTATAAGTTCTTCAAAGACTATTCATGCTAATCATGTCATACAGCTTGATAACTATCATTAATTAGGAGAGCACAGGAATGACTTCTTCCTTCTGGATCCAGATAGAAAAATGCCCTTTACAAAATAGTTTTGGTTTGGGGCTTTTTCTGGTTGTTTGTTGTTGTTGTTTTTCAGAGTATGCAATTTGATTTTGCAACTATATTGGAATTTTGAGAACAGTTTGTAATCCTGTGCAGACTTCCCTGGGCATCATTCCTTACTGAGTTCACTGTAAACTAATAAGAGTGATTCCACCTAAGATTCCACCTAAACATTAGGAAGAACTTCCTGACAGTAAGAGCTGTTCGACAGTGGAATTTGCTGCCAAGGAGTGTGGTGGAGTCTCCTTCTTTGGAGGTCTTTAAGCAGAGGCTTGACAACCATATGTCAGGAGTGCTCTGATGGTGTTTCCTGCTTGGCAGGGGGTTGGACTCGATGGCCCTTGTGGTCTCTTCCAACTCTATGATTCTATGATTTCTGTTTATGCCCCCTGTATTTTTAAAACAGTTGATATTATTTAACAGTCAGCACATCACAAATACACTGTGGTTAAAATATTTCAGGTGATAACTGAATAAGTCATCCTCAGAGTGGACTCATTGACATTAATTAAGTCCAGTGGTTTCATTGGGTCTACTTTGAGACTGGTATGAGAACTCAAAAGGGAGGCGACAACTTACAGCAGTGGAGCTGCATCCATCATTGGTGCTTTGCTGACACATTATGACCTGGCAAGCATGACTGAATGAACTTGGCAACCTTTTGCAGCTTACACACCAGCCCTTACCTCCCCCCTCCCATCCCAGAACACTCATTTTATTACCTACAGGTGATGTGTGGCTCAAGACGAGCCACAGGGTGTCATGCAAGGGAGTAAAAGGTCAGAGCAGGGTTGTAATGCAACAGAGGCTAATTTAGATGGTAAGGTCCTCAAGGCAGGAACCTCCACCTTTTCCTGTTTATATTATACTCTATAAAGCCCCATGTATATTTATGGTGTCATACAACTAAGAATAAGAATTTGGACATTCTGCTAGACTGGGTACAGTGCCTGCAAATGGAGGAGAAGGGTAAAAGTCGAGGACTGAATGGCAATATGGGGTGTTGTCCACGATGGTGCAGCTTATTGCCTATGTGCAGGTGCACTCACACGGAAGGAGGGAGAACAGATCTCTGTCGGCCACTGAGGTTGCCCCCCATGAGCTGATATATGATGTACATTGCAAATGTTTCCCATATTTTATATTTAGAACAGAAAATACCTTTCCACTGTGAATACTAGGCTGTAATTATTATAATGTACTATGAAACCAAATTATCTAAGCTTTTACTTTAATGTGTAACGGGAATAATAGAAATAAGGAGAATATGAGGTTACACCTCTTGCAACTTTCAGATAACATCGTTCTTTGTTTCTTCCTCTCGACAGCTTTTTTTGGAGCACAAATCAATGCTTTTATCCATGTTATTATGTACATGTACTATGGACTAGCTGCCTGTGGCCCAAAATTTCACAAGTACCTTTGGTGGAAACGATACTTGACCATAATGCAGCTGGTAAGTAATTTTTTTTAAAAAAAACCTATTACCTAGGATACTTAGAACCTTGAATGCTAGAACTTTAAAGCTAGGTGGATGTCATGCATCCACACACCCCATGTACCTCTTGAAGCAAGATGCTCTGTACTCAGATCACACCATAGATATGAAAGAGCAACCAAGAATGAGATTGGTATTCTAGCCAGATGAAAGAATAGAATTGAATACAATGAAATGAAATGTGTAGAAATAGCTCCAGGTAATGAGTATGAACCAAAATAGTATCTTACATACCTATTTGCATGCAGAATATCTTAGAAATAACTGTAGAATGGAAAGTATATGGTAATTCATCGAAATCTGTTCACACTGAATCCAGTGATTACACTGTGCACAAAGGGTTTGGCTGCATGAAATAGTTGTCTTACACATGTAAGGTTGGCCACTGAGGGAGCAGGATGCCAGACTAGCTGGGCCATTGGCCTGATCCAGCAGGCTATTCTTATGTTATTATCTTATGCAATCCTTTTCTGGATTTTAAAGACCAGATTAATCCCTCCATATTGCTGGCAAAGGAACAACCCAGATTAGGGGAGGTGATTTATGGACCACCACCCCCTTCTCTGAAATACATGGCCGTAGATCAGGCAAGGGGAACCTGTGGCCCTCTGGATTTGGGGTTCCATCTCCCATCAGCCATAGGCACCATGGGCAATGACCAGGGATTGTGGTGGTTGTCACTCAGCAGAGTTTGGAGGGCCACTGCAGAACAGTTCCGAAAAGTACAGTAAAGTCTAGTTGTTGGTCATGAATATTATGAATAGCAGAATAGGAGAAACATGTTTTCTTTTTCCGTTTCCACCTAATAGCTATTATCATTTCTCTGTGACATGTTGGTGAATCGTTTTTAAAAGTATACCTTCAGTTTTGCAATTTGCCTGTTAATTCTTTTCAATATCTGTTTAGTATTCAGACTCCCCTCCCCCCAGGATACATTATAAAATGCAATTGAGCAGAAGCCTATTGATCAGGATCTTTGACATTCTGTTTTTCTACCTTTTCAGATTCAGTTCCACGTGACAATTGGCCACACGGCCATGTCTATTTATATTGATTGTCCCTTTCCTAAATGGATGCACTGGGGCGTCATTTTCTACGCCAGCACTTTCATTATCTTGTTTGGTAACTTCTACTATCGGACATACAAGATGCCCAAGCAGCCTGTAAAGAATGGCAAGATTACCAATGGTGTTGTGGCAAATGGTATAAGCAAACCAGAAAATGGTCTAGTTGTGGAAAATGGAAAAAAGCAGAAAAAAGCAAAAGGAGAGTAACTGGATCCAGGCCTTAACCATTGTTGGCAGTGAGGAGTCTCCAAATTGGTTGTAAAAGAGAAAGAAACGTTATCCTATCTATACCAATTGACCTTTAGGTTATTGAAGAGATAGAAAACATTATTTATGAAGATCGTTTTAACAACAGCCCTTCAACTTTAAAAATTCTATTGTAATTATGTAATTATTAAGACTCTCATGATCTCTATGTAAACTTTTAGACTGCTGGTGTTGGTAATGTAAGAAAGAATTGCTGAAGCATATCCTGTCAATCCAATGGTTAATACTACAATTAACCAAGGGTACAGTTGACTTGTTGGAGCAGACATTTCTTTGAAAAAATGAATATTGTATAAATCTTTCTGAACCTATCATTTGTTTTAAGACCAAATCATTCCCTAATTAGGACATGGATTTTTTCTTGCCCTCTTTTATCATAGTTTTGTTTTATAGTCTCTTAAACTACATGTTACCCTAATTTGTCCACTATATCTGTTACAACTTCTCTTGTGTGGAAATGCACCTACCTCTTCATTTTTTGAAAGTAATACCTAACATTAAATACTAATTTTTGAAATACAGAGTCTGCCAATATAAATTTTGTTCTGTTCTAATTAGAAAAAATTATTTCATTTTTTTTAAATGTATTTTCTCATTAATGAAGAGGACATATTTGAAAGGTCTGTATCTGAAACAAATGACAAACCATGGTCTAAATCTAAGACAATCCTTGTTTCTAAGGTGTCATGAAACTATTGTTTGTTGTCTCCAGTTGCATGAAACCCATGGTGCTAATGCTTAAAATGGTTGGATGTTATATTGTGGTAGAGGGGAGGACAGAACTCAAGTTTTTATTTTGCTAATGGCCTACTTATTTAGTACTGGGCATGTTAAATATAAAGAGGAGAAATTCATCAGCATAGAGTCTTGCAGCTGAAAGCCTCCACCCAACAATAGAACTCAAGTTAGCCACGACCAGCTTGTTCCATTGGGTTCAGTGGGACTTAAGTCATGATTAAATTTAGTTAAATTGGGGCCCAAGTGCTTAAATGTCATGAGCAAATGCACTGTAGATAATATTGTTGTGAACTGTTTACTCACAAGGTGGTCTTGCCTCTAGTACTGTAATACTTGCGGGCTCATGATCTTTTTACAGGTACTGTACAAATAGACTCGTAATTGATTCTTCTTGCAGTCATGTCACTGCAAGAGCAATATTGGCTGGTTAAGATTCCATCCCTTCCATATCAGCTTCTCTAAGTCTAATTTCCATGGCTGTTCTGCTCATCATTCCTTCTGCTGCACCATTATGGCTTGCCTCTAAGGCTTATTGTCAGAGTACCTCAAGCTCAACTCCACTATGGACTGGATACATTTTATTGCACAACTGTGAAGAAAGTACAGTAAGGATTCTCCATTTGCACAGCCCTGGAAATGGATGTGGAGAGAAGTCATGATTTGCTCCAGCTTGGATTGAGTTTGAGGCACAGCTGGAACTAGAACTGAGGAGGTCGTTAGATTTCTCTGCTCTGAATACCAGAGCCATCCTCATATATTTATGAGAAAGAGATTTCTCTCTAGTAATGTATTTTATATCATGAAAATAAAGCTATTTAGTTGAGACAGAAGCTCGCAGGACATTCTGTTTTTACTTTTATCCATCTTGTATTGTCTGTAAAAACGATAGGAGAACAAACCCCCCTGTATTTCTGAATATTTACTATGTCTCTGGCTTAATGGTTTTGCCCAAAACACTCCCAAAGCAATCCAAAAGTATAATTGGAAAGGTTATAAATGTCTGGACACAGATCATCTTTACAGGTTTATTTGGCAGGCTGGTCTCCCAAAGTAACCCAAACTGGGTGTGAAAATACTGGCATGGGCTGCAGCCCTAACTAGGGAGTAGGCCCATGGAACACTGTGAGACTTACTTCTGAATAAACCTGTTTAGGATGACACTGTGGAAATACACAGCAGATCTCTTAAATCTTAACTGGTCTGGGACCATCAAGTAGCTTCTCTGATTAGGGTTGTTTCTTTTGTGCTTTCCAAAATGGAGCCGAAAGGTGGGTGTTGTTGTAGGCAGCTGGCAGAACCGGGTGGGGTGACCTTGCTCACCTGGCTTCTGAATGTGGGGGTCGCTGCTGCTAATAGGGAGGGGGTGACTGCAGGTAGCTTGGTTTCCAGCAGGCACAGTAGCACAAGCAGTGGGTTGGCTCCAGCACCAGCAACCTGCTGAACTCCTCACAACCTCAACTGTTACTCAACAGCCTCTGTTACTGGCAGCGGACTCCATGTTGGGAAGCCAAGTACGCAATGCAGCTCCACCCCACCAGCTGTTCCTGCAGGCAACAAACATCTTGGGACATGATACGCTAAAGGGCTGTTGATTTTATTGGGGGAGAATTAAGCATGTGCTTAACTTTTTCATTGAAATCAATGGGACTTGCATGTGCTCAACCTTGTCTGGATTATTCCCTTAATGTATAGAAATAAAAAGTAAAAGATGTTTGCAGATCTTTTGTCCTTTTTATAATCTATTGGGATTTCAGCATGGGGTGGTGTTCTGTCATCATCCAGGTGGGGGGGAACCACCTATTTCAGACAACATAATTGACTTTTGCCAGTCATATTGAGAATATTCTCTTCCAGGGTGGTGTGGCTTTTGACTTTGATTTCATTTGGTTTTATTTTTTTGCATATCACAGTCTCATAGGTCTTTGTGTATTGTAGATTCATATCCATGAGAACATACACTAACCCTAAGGTGCAATTCCATCAGAATATTGCTGCTGGAAACCTAAATCCTGCATAGCTTGTAAACCAAGCACTTGTTGACACCGATGACAATGCAAATTGCACCACAATAAGATACAGATCCTGGCATGCTTGACTGTGTGGCAGACCTGGTTTAATTAAAATCATGTTTATTTGTTCGTTAGTCTCTTTTATCACAAAAGTGACTTGAAATAACTTACAAAAATAATATAAACCCAACAAATAAAAGTTTTAAAACACATCTATACAAGTAAAAAAGACAGGCCACATTAACAGAGATCAGATAGACCTGAAACCCCTCAAAAGAGGGGCCAAAATCCAGGGCTAAAAAAGGTTTCTGCCTGGTACCTAAACATAGATAAAGATGGCAAGCCTCCCTGGGTAGAGCATTCCACAAGTGGAGAGGCACCACTGAAAAGGCTTGTTCTCATATTGCCACCCTCTGCACCTCCCATGGAGGAGCTACGTGGAGAAAGGCTCACATGATGACCACAGGGTCAAGGTCAGTTTGTGTGAGGTGAGGCAGTCCTTGAGGTCATTGGGGTCCTGAGGCTTTATAGGTCAAAACCAGAAATTGAGCCCAGAAACTAATTGGTAGCCAGTGCAGTTGCGTCAGAATGAGTGTTTCTATATTTGGGCTGTCAGCAATCAGGCTGCTGAATTTTGGACCAGCTGCAGTTTCCAAACAGTATGCAGCCCCCTGTGTGACACATTTCAGTAATCCAAATAGTCCCTGTCCAAATAGGGGCACGACTGGGCCACAAGTTGAAAGCACTGGGGGAAAACACTCAGCAGAACCAAGGCCACTTGAGCCTGAAGCTGCAATAATTGATCCAGGAGTACCCGCAAGCTATGTTCCTGCTCCTTCTGAGAAAGTATAATCCCATCCAGAGTAGGCCACACCCCACCCATCTGGTTGAGGGAACCACCCTCTAATAGCCATCTGCCTCTGTCTTATCTGGATTAAGTTTCAGTTCATTGGCTCATATCCAGTCCATTACCAAGGCAAGACAATGGTCCAGTGCATCCACTGCCTCACCTGCAAATGTAAAGGGAAAGTAGAGCTGTGTCATCATGGTGCATTTTGGGGGTGATTACAGTATCCTTTTCTAGACATCTTTAATAGGTACCAGCAACATTTTGAAAGACATCCACACCCAGTACATACATAATGCAAAGTAAGATGTTCCAACACTAAGTCATGGTTTGGCTTAGCATTATGGCCAAACCCGGACACATGCTTTGTTGTGGTTTGTTGGGTGAGGCAAGCCCAGGTTTGGACGTGACGCAAAACCAAATCATGGCTTAACCCTAGAAAGTACAGTAGCAGCAGGACTGAGGAGGAACACTCCATGTCCCTGCATGTTTTCCCTGTTCATGCTAAACCATGGTTTGTCTTAACCTTGTACGCAAAGCAGGTAATTGTCATGGGGCCCACAGAAATCTCCGTAAGCATTGCAACATTTCGTCATAACTATTTCAAAGACTTTATTTTTAAAACTTAAAAAAATCTAGCACTGCGTCCATGGATGTCATTTCTACTGAAACTCATCTCATCACTTTCTCCTTTCCAGTGGTGGGGGAAGGGAAAGATGGAGCCGAGATATGCCAATAGCACTTTCCAGTTGGCCTTTACTCTTGTACTTTTCTTAAATCAAATGTCCTGCGTAGAAAGCTAAGTTAATGCATGTTGGGCTTGCATTCCCCAGCTTGGATTTTGGCATGTTACAATTTGGCGGGGTGGGGGGAGATTTGATACTGGCTGATTGCACGAAACAATATTTTGAATATACGGTATGTCAAATACAAACATCAGGAAATAGATTTTCCAGAGTTGTTTTGAGATATAAATCATCTTTGTAACACTTGCTTGTCAGAAATCATAAGCAAAAAATGTTTCTGATTTTCAGGCAGCTATAACTTATTTCAGATCAATGGAGTGTTGCTGAGTCTATACTTGCTTTCTTGTCTCCACAAAACACAGAAATGCAGCTGGTTTGTGTGTGTGGCAGGTTTCTAGTAACTGAGCAGTTACATGTGATGGGGGGATAGTCCTTGATTTGCCACACTGTATGGCGCAGCAGTTAATTCAAAGGATAAACGAATGTCATTTTTGCAAAGGATACTAAAGGGGTGGTGAATAATGTGAGACTCCATTGCTTATCTCAAGCATTTTAGTTTATTTATTCTAGCAAGGCTTCATTCCTCCAAATGAACCAGTGCCTTTGCATGCTGTGACTCATTTTTATGAAGTGGTCTACTGGCTACACATGCATGAACAGTATCACACATCAACAGCAACCATTTGCAGGATTGCAAACACACTTGGTGGCATGAATAAGAGCAGATGTTATAATGCTGAATGTAGCCCCATTATCCATAGACCATGCATATTGAATGAATAAACTGCTTCAGGTCGCTGCAATTGATGACAAAGCATCCCTGGGACTGGTTTACCGGTAGTTGCAATAAGCAATTTCATTTGAAATTCAATAAGAAACACATTACCATGCCATGCTCAGAGTGATTACAGTAGTCATCTGTAAGTGGGATTAGCTATGATGATCTAGTTTATTCCATTTTTAACCTCTGTCTTTCTTACGGAAATGATGTGCAATAGTTTGCTTTCGCAAAACCAAATAGAAAAAAAACAACCAGATGAACTACAAACTGTTCTTGTCAAAAACTAGAATGTCAGTTCTTCCTTAATTCTGGTTCTTGGAGCATGTCTGAGATCAACACAAACTACGGATTGGAGCCAACTACATTTTGCTCAGAGTAGACCCATTGACAGAGTAGACCCATTGACCCAAAATAAGTTGGTCAAGTCCATTAATTTCACTGTGTCTACTCTAAGTAGGACTAATGTTGGATACAATCTTCTTACGATCTATTTATCAATAAATGTATACGCTATTGAAATCCACAGGAGATGTTAGTAAAAGCTGCAACAAAATAAACTGTTTATTTGAGTGCGATTTTAACATTTATTATGAGCAGCTTGCATTGTGGCTAGCATGTTTTGTAAATAGATTTCATGCAAATCATAGTGTGATGTATTCATTCGGGTTTTAGATAGCTGCATCTTTCCGCAAAAGCAAGAATTTTTTGGGTGGGGAGGGAAGAGTTTGATGTTGGAAAAAAATAACAAGTTAACACTAAAACCTGCCTTTAGAAACACAAAAATACAATCCAATTATAAATAATGAAGCCATAGCTCCCTAAAATTCAGCACGTCTATGCAAATGGGCTCTTGGGCAAATGCTGACACATAGGTTAGCCATGCACCCGGGTGATGCACAATCATCATCGGACTATGTGTGGATGGGTGGGTGGTTCCCACAGGGACTCAATTCCTGCTCAGCAGAGATTCTTCTTCCAGGGAGGGAGTCCTCTATGTGGACATCCACACGTGTGTAGGGACCCCTTCAGACTGACTCTGTACACATGTTGGCTGTGTACCGATGTGCTCATCAGCATCTAGGAGGCTTCAACTAACAGGTCCTGTTAGTGCAAGATTTTCTGCTTTCCCCCTCCCTCTCCTCCTTCCCCCTTTCATACCACACCCTTTTCCAAATCTGCTCCACAGGGTTGGAGGAACGCCTAGAGCAGATTTCTGGGGGGGAGAATATTCAATGGTGTAAGCAGAAATCATTGCACTGACAGAATGCTCACATAGCAACAAGCCTAGGATATTCTGTGTAGGAGCATCTTTTCCTACATCTGTACTGAACAGGCTTCTCTGAATACCAGATGTTACATGCTAGAGAACACATCTGCATTAATCTGAGGCATTTGAGTCACTAGTGCAAAAATCAACAACCCTTTTCTCGGTTCGGGATAGCATATGCTGTGCTTCCCTCAATGCCTGAATAGTCACCACGGCTGTTTTCTTAGATCAGCTGAATCAATATCTGTATAATAATTGTAAAAGTAAGATCCAGAAGCTGCACATCATTCATTTCACAGAACGATCCTCACGGTGTGGGTCTATGCATTTTATAGAGCGTCCTCTTCAGAGCTCTTTAAATCTGCTTACAAAGCACCTGACCGAAAGCCTGTTTGGATCAGACTCAGGAAACTGGAGACAAAGAAACTGCATTTGCTGAAGACATCTTATTACCGCATTTTGATGTGGCACTGTTATTGCAGGTACAGATACCAGGGAACGTTCATTGTCAGTTTATGTAAGCCTTTAAGCGTTTTTATATCGTTAGGTTCATGTATTGCCTTATGCAAGGTAGCATTCTATGTTATGATTAGTTGAAATGTACGAAATATTTCTTAATGATCAAAGCACTTGTTCTTGGTACATGTGTCCTCAAATTAAGGGCCGGATCCTTCTTCTCATTGGCTGCAAACAGAGATGGACTGGGGCAATAGATGTGATCCAATTTTTAAAAATCTGTTCTAGATATTACAACAATTGTTCATAAACCTAGGGATTCAATTACAAGGATTTGTACTTTTAGCCTTTAAACATTTTTATGACTTGACTTTTAGGAATTAAGTATTGCAATATTAGGAATTATCTACTATTAAGATTTGGGGCTGTATGTGGGATTTTAAGGTTCTGCATGTCCGTATGCATGCATACATCTTACAGGAATCAATGGAATTTGTGCGTGAAAATGGCTGGATGAGGACTTGCAGCCATAACTTTCATTGCAAATGCTCCCTTTAAGAAAATTGGATAGCTTCTTTGATGAAGTGCTGCTTTTGTGTAAATAT